GTTTCACCGATACATCTCGTTTGTGTCATATTGCATGTAACATCCTCGCATTCATCTGTATGGTGTGTGTTCGCCCTTTTGAGCCCCCGTTGTGATTGTCTTGTACTTCGGTCAAGCAGTCACAATGTGGACTTTTTGCATGATTGTCTTTTTGCCTATTCCTCGACAACTTGTCCTACTCGTTAAGAGAGTGACCCCGAGTTAGTCGTGATGCCTTAACGAGCATTGTTTGCTAGATTGATCCCAGCGAGCAATGCGAGTTTAGTCATCGGGATTAACACGAATATGACTATGTTAAATTAGATCTAATTTGTGTCTCCGCTCTTCGTGACACCCTTTAGATCCTTCAGATATTTAGGATGGGGCTTGTATGGCGATCCCGTCAAAGTCATACTATACTCAGACTTATCCCGCACTTAGATACTAGGTTGACGCACTTTTCATTAAATGGTGTGCTAGGTTAGGATTTCTAGTGCTAGGTAGTATTTTTTATGTCTGACTATATTTTTCTACTAGATTGGTTATCCTAGCCAGACATTTTTATTTTGCATTATGTCTTTGATATGACTGCATGTTGTATATGTGTGGTAGTGTGTTAGAGCATTTTTCTGCAGGGAGTCGTGTCTATTTATGCACACGCACAGGCACCGCTATGGAGGAGCATGTGATGATTTCTGACCCTTTTATTTGCAGGTGTTATTTAGCTCCTCATTTATAAGGCATGACTCATTATACGTTATTTGCATGTGAGCTTTCCCGCTAACACTTGTTTTCATGCAGGATTGAGTCTTTTTCTTCTCTATGTACTTTTAGAGTCTATGAGAGTCTTATAACATAAATAAGATACGGGCACGGATTCCAAAATGTTTGGCGCAGGAACCATGTGGAGGGGACGAGGACAATGACCAGATGCTCGTGCCTTGTATCTTAATTATGCATTTTATATTGATGTACAGAATTAGGACCAGACATGTATATGCGGAGTCCGGCCTCCCTTTTTCTTTTCTGAGATATGTGACCCAGCGGCACCGACCTATTTATTATTTTGATTTGGCTTGTTTTTTTTTATTTTTGCATCATTTTGCATGTATGTACTTACATGTGTTTTCCTTGTTTCTTTCTGTGGTTTATCTGGGATTTCACGAAGAAACATAGGCTCTTTAATACTTTAATTTCTAATCTTTTACAAAATCCTAAATAAAATATTCAAGATAATTAAAATTTAGGATTAAAATATTCAGGATTTAAAATTTGCAATTTTACTTTCCAACTTATATTAATAGAGCCTCCACAATACTAAGAATCGCTCTAGATCACTACATTCATATTTGCATGTCCCGAGGAGTCCACGTACTTCTCCAAACTGACTGACCCAGCATAAATTCATGTAGATGGTTGTCGCCTATGGTGTTAAGAGACTCCTCGACTCATACGGGGTATAAGTCCTTTTCTTTGGAGCTTTTCCAACTTTATAGCTGAACCTCCATTTTTTCTTCTTTCATGAGACATCCTTGCCACTTTGGCAAGTATAAGTCTCACTTTTTGGAGCTCCAGCTTTTAGTCATAAGATAAAATTTTCATCCTTTGACCTTAGGGCTATCGAGATTCACATGGACGACGCAATTCACAGATTGCTGACCGGAAATCTCAGGATGTGTTGGGTCGACTACCTTCAATATCGGGTAGACTTAGGGTCCTAATAGTTGTGGATGACGAGTCTGTGATACCCCGACCCAGCTACCTCTATCTTATAGGATTATTTTACCTTCCTTTTGTTGAGCCTTGTCGCTCATTTGACTTTGTCGATATCATTTTGATGACCTGATGTCGATGAATTGACGATCATTTGAGATACGACGATTTGTCTTTTGCCCTTATGGCTCGGACGTGCTTTGACGTGTTGGGATATCCCCGTCAATATGATTTAGGTTATTTTGTGGACTCTGTGTGCCAATGAGTCTGCTACCCATTCGAGATGTAAGAGACTTACTCTCTGCTCGATGGCTTAGCGTGAGCTTTAAATCACCGGGATTGTTCCCACTTGTAATAACCTTCCTTTGATTACATATATCTCAGGTTTATGATAATATGAAGCAAAACTCCTTTTATCGAGAGTATTCTTGGGTATCCCCCAAGATGTAATTAACCAGTAGGAACACGTTACTCTGTAGTGCTCTTAACCCCTGAACAGGGACATGCTCCTAACTATCTTGTTATAGGTAGTCTGTGTAAATACTTCTTTCGCAAATATTAGTTTAAGGTGTCTCCACCCGATCTTGTTTGGGTGGGCATTCTTGATCTATCCTTGCGAGGTTTATCTTACGTAGACTCTCCACATTTTACTTTTTTCTCTTATTTGTCTCTTTGTCGTATGTCACTTCTTATTCAGTTCCTCTCCTCTTCGAATCACTGATTTGTTTCGGGAGGGAAATTTATTTGAAAAAGAGAAGTATACGACAATCGACAAGCTAGCGACTCTTTTTTAAAATAAAAAAAAGAAAAAAAATGAATGGAAACAATCAACTTATTTCAATTTTGGTAGCTTGCCACTATACAGAAGTTCCTTCATACCTCTCTAACTCATGTGGCCAAGTCTGCAATGACACAACTTTATTGTGTTGTTTGCAACAGTAGTATCAACACTATTAATTAAACCAGTAGTCATATATATTGTATCTATTTTCTTACCCCGAGCCAGTACCAGTGCTCCTTTAGTCACATTTCAGGTGCTATCTGAGAATACTATTGAATGTTCACACTCATCAAGCTGCCCAACAGAAATGAGGTTCTTCTTCAGTTCAGGAATGCATCTGACCTTTTGCACAGTCCACTTGTTCTTGTTCAGAAATGCAATGTCAATATCTCATATTCCTACCACATTCAGAGCTTCTCCATCTGCCAGATATATTTTCCCAAAGTCATCTGCAACATAATTTCGCATCAATTCCCGATTAAAAGTTGTATGAAAAAAACTCATGAATCTAGTATCCCGTCATCAACAGAACTATGAACTGTCAGCAGAAGTACATCATGTGATTTTTCAGTTACCACATTTGCACTGTCATTCTCCGTCTTATGATTATTGTAGTTCCTCTTTATGGGATCATTTTTGCCACAATTCCAACAAGTTACTTGTTTACCAGGTTTTAACTTGCTTCTGCTTCTGTTCTTTAATTTTGATCTTCCCCTGTTTGAGTTCCTGTCATATGATCTCCCTCTAAAATCAACATTTAATGTTGAACTCGAACCTGAGATCTCGCCAGAAACTTTCTTGCGCACCTCCTCAGCCAAAATCAAATCATGAATATCTTCATATTTCAATTTTGATTTATCTGCAGAATTAGTGACAATTAACCTCATAGTTTCTCAACTATTTGGTAAATGAAGCAAATAAGATCAATGCAGGTATCTCATCATCGAATTCAATTTTCACAGATGATAATTGATCTGTGACAGTATTAAAATCATTCAGGTGTTGTATAACATACCTTCCGTCATTTTCAAATTAAATAACTTCTTCATCAGATATATCTTGTTATTCGTTGATGGTTTTTCATACATACATGACAAAGCTGTCATAAGATCTGCAGTGGTCATTTCCTTGACGACGTTGTGTGCAACGAACCTCAATAGGGTCAATCGAATAACCCCAGAACATGTCGATCCAACAGATTTCATTGAACTTCATTCATCCTTTCAGGTTTTTTTCCCTAGTGATGGAAGATAGAGTTTCTTCTCATAAAGGTAGTCATCTATCTGCATCCTCCAATAACCAAAATTTATGTCATCAAATTTCTCGATCTCTGATACCTTCACTTCATCTGCAGTCATTGGCTCTGAAACCAGTTGTTGTGGTATATATGAAATAGAACAATCAACGAAGCGAAAAAAAATATAACGAGAAAATTTCACACCATAAAAAAACACAGCTTTACATGGTTCAACAAATTGTCAACATCCATGGAGTTGCAGAGGAGTTCATTGCTTGAGGAGTTTACACCACAATGTTTCAATTTACAAGAAACACTTATCTCAACTTCAATGAATTACCAAGTCGATGTATTTCTTCATCATCGTTTCTTTCTCGACGATTACAAGAAACTCTCTCTTTCTTCCTCTCTCTCACCGCTCCTTCTCTCTATCTGAGAGAGCAACAACCAAAGGACTAGGAAGTGCTGCCTTTGATAATTCTTCTCCTCTTGTTGCAAGCCAACGCCTAAGAAGAACACAAGAAAGTATTAGTTGTGCGATGCTTTCTTCACCCGTAAACCAACGTAGAAGAAAAAAAACGAGGGAGAGACAGAAACGTGAAGAAGCCACTGTTTTTGTTTTCCTTTTTGGAGAGTAGCTGCTACAACACCCAATCCCAATTTTCTGCTTCTGCTATGCATTAATTGGTTGGCGGGACCTACCAAAACAAAGAAGTGCGCCTCTTCCAAGAATGGGAGGCGGGAACAGTTGAAAGAGGCGGCAAGCAAATTTTAATTTTTCTTAAACCGGGCTCCACCTCAACAAAGGGGGCTAGGGCTTCAAAGTGAGGTTGGAGGTAGAGTTTGTGTCGAATGCTAGTGCAAAGAAAAATGATGATTTTGAACACTCTAATGACGAGACGAAGCATTGTGGGACGAAGGATTTGGGGTGACAACTTGAGGGTAATGAATGGTATAATTGGAATTTACACAAGCAAATTAAAAATTCTGAAAAACTAAACTTAAGGTATTCTAAATTCCTTATTACAAAACTTAAAAAAAAATTCAAAGTCCATACATTGTTATCACCATAAATATGGTAAAAAAAATAGTTTTGAGGATCTCTCAGGAAGCAAATAGAAAGAAGAGAAAGAAGCCCAATACAGGGGCTTTCAATCAAAAGAGAAAGGAAGTATTGAGCGGAGGAGATGCTGTTGTTTTCATTCCAACAAAAGGAGAAAAATCATAGATAAGCTTACATTCGATTTCTTGTGCAAGAAAAAAAAAAGTAATTGCAACATCTTACATCTCGATGGCCATGTTCTTTCTTAATAACTAAAAAGAATAACGTGTAATCTCTATTCGTATCCCCCCTCTTAATATGAAGTACAATAACTCCAAGTGCTCCTTATGAAGCTTGGAGATTATGCAATTTCTATGAGATCATGGAAGTCGGTGGATCTCATCAAACCATACAAATACAATAGATATTGCATTTCTATGAACTTATGTCTGTGTTTGTTGTGCTTTGCTTCTCATATTCATGCTTTTGCTGGTTACTATCACCCTAAGAAGAAACAAATAGAATCTTAGTTTTTTTTTTTTCTTTTTTCTAAATTCATTAGCTTTTGAGGGCATAAAATTCATTTGTTACTAATCAAGAAGGGAAATTTATATGAAGGCAAGTATTAAAAGTTCACATGGTCTGGGCTAATAATACTGTTGCTTTCCACACTCAAAAAAGTTCATTAAAACTTTGATGATTCCACTTTTAAGAAGTTAAATCTTAAGCAAAAGTTCACTAATCTCAGGTTATCTGAAGAAAACTCTAATTTTCTTACATTAATGATTTCAACTCGAAGACAAGTTAATTGAGCTCTATCAATATCAACTTTGAAGACAAATTTCATATCTCGAGTTACCTTCCATCGCTACCTGAAAGTTCAAATTTTATAGTAACGACCGTCAATATGATGAATTAAAGATTAATGATATTAAATACCTTGCTTTCAAAGAACACATCTGAAGATAAAATTCTTTCATCTTTTGCTTTGAATGTTGATAACATGAGCGCCCCCAAAATAAAAGCAATCATTAAGGAAGAGTCAAATCTGAATCATGAGAAAAAAAGCTAGAACAAATAATAAAATTTAATTTTTAAAAATATTAAAGATGCATTCAAATCTTAAAAAAACTCGAGATAAAATTTATATTTATGGCAACAATTAAGGCTACTTAGACAAAGGCTTGCCTAATTACACCAACATAGAAAATACAATAAATTAATCAATATTCAAAATAAATGCAATCTAAAGCATATTCTAGATGCATGCTCATCTTCATTGTTCCATGTCGTACACTCCTTAAAGAAAGAGATATTAATATCTTAATATTATATGAAAATCCACTACATAATAAAAAAGAAACAACAGTAGTAGGGACACGAGATGTTTTTTACATGAAAATTCCAAAATTAAAAAAAAAAAATCACGGGCCTAGCACAGTTGAAATGGTTTTTGATCATTCAAATATGTGTTACACGACTTTGGCTGCCCTTAAACATCAAAAAATAATATTACAAGAGTGGAAATTATCAACTTGACTTTCACTGTATGAGTGGCAAAACAAATTGGGGAAGTGACAACAAGCCAACTGCGACAATAGAAGACAAACGATAGGGGTTCGTAAAATGGAGATCTGAATTCAGCATCATCGAGACGGTTTCAACTAGGCAACAATAGCAAGCAACAGTGATCTCACAGTGGTGGTTCGACAATAAAAGTCTGATGGTGGCAACGGTGTCAGCTGGACAACGGTGGTTCGAGAGAAGCTCTAACAGTGGTTGTGACATAAAAGTTAGTTACATGACTGTGGTCTGACGACATACATGCAACGATGATTTGACGACATTGAGGGTCAAGAGACGGTGGTCTGACAATGCCAATAGTGGTCTGACGAAGGCAATGAGAACGATGACCATGGCTTCAGTTGGGCAACAATGGTCAAGTGACAGCGGTTGTGGTCCAATGATTTGGCAATGATGACGGCCATGCGGCAATGTCAACAATAATGTCGTTGACCAACCGATGGTGGTCTGATGACAACGATGGAGGTTTAATGGTGTGGGTTGTGTAACAATGATTTGATGAAGGCTGTCAAGGGAGAATGGCAGCAGAAATATCATTGGTCGGGCGACGATGCTCTAATGGTGGCAGTGCAACAATGGTGGAGGCCCGACGCTGGCTCGGTGATGGTGATCAAGCGACGACGGCTGCCCGACAATGGTGGTCCAATGCTGTGGCAACTGAGAAATGATCTGGTGAGAATAGCAGTGTACCGCAAAAACAACAATGTATCACAACAATAGTAAGGATCGTGCGATAGTGATCTGACAATGACGATGATGGAATGACAATGGAAATGATATTATAGTACGACAATGGCCTAGCGACGGTTATCCAGTGGTGAGTGGAGCTCAAGAATTATCACGAGCTTAGAGCTACCTACAATCTTCTCATCTCAATCTAAGCCCCGTTATGAAGAGAACGAGTCTATTTATAGATTTTGGAAGTTATATCATTCATAAATAATACTTGAATCCAAACCACTTAAATAGAAGGCGCAGTGATTAATTTGATCAGATGATATTTTATGAAAAATTGAGTATCTTAATGATGTCGGAATTAAGTGATCTTAGATTTACTGATTCATCTCATCAAGATGCTCGAATTGACAATAAACTTGTCATATTTGAATATCATTTAGTCTCCCAAACTATGTCCTATGAGATCACTTAGACTCATATCGGATCATTTATGTGTCCTTTCGTTTGTCCCAAAAAGACAGTTTATTTTATTATAAATTTGAGTGTAGGAAATTCTTAATTCAATATTTAGAGCTTCCGGTCCCAATCTGCGTCAATATTCGTAAACAATATATTGGATTTTTTTTTAAGATATATTAGCCATTATTGTCGACTAAGTCTGATCTCATTTTTTAATTTGGTTTTTTATTACTTTCTAATTCGGTCAACTCACTTGAAATTATTCAAACCCTAATTTTGACCTAAATCTAAAGGCAAAGATGCTCCAATATCAACTTGCTCCCACAAAATGAATCAAACATGAAATGATGACACTAATAAAAAAAATCAACGCTTGACTAATGATAATGACCATGATTATATTAGAGAGAAAATTTTATCTAAGCTAGAGAACCTGTCCATTTAGTGTGGCAATGATAAGTGATTATCCTCTTCGGTGGTGGCAGAATTTAATCACATAATCTCTTTAGATCTGCACGAGCCTAAGCCTCCGTAAGCCCAACATATTATAGATAATCACAAAAACACTCGAATGCAATTGAAGTCAATATACTATCTTGTAAGGAGTGGTTAGTAAAAAAATAAACTCTCTCCTCCTCTGACAAATCAACTTAACAAAAGCAAGTTGTTTTCTTTTAAACCATCAATCTCTTCTAGTATCACGTTTGGCTCCTTGGGTATATGGTCGATCGCCTTAAGTATTCACCAACATCTCACTCACTTAAGTCGCCCACTTGGTTTATATCCATATCTTCTTAGATTCTTTAAAGATCTATGCACTTTGCAGATATGCTATCCGGAAGACCAATAAGAACTTCTTCATGATTCTGTCTCTCATATATTTTTTTTAAACTATTTTTCCTCTATCCTTTGAACTAAATCTCTTCCTTTTGTAGCAATGTTTGTGGTAGTATCTTGAATTTGAATTCTTGTCACTTCTAATACATGAGCTTCAACTTTATTCAAGCCCTAGTTTTTATCTTAAGTGTATGTTTAAGGCAGTTGCAACTTATTAAAAAGCTGTTGCGTAGATGTGTCAGAAAGCTATTGCCCAGAAGCAGGATGTCTGTTTTTTTTTTGTAGCTTTGCAACAACTGTACTGCAGTTTCTGAAAAAAAGACTTTTATGCCTCTGTAGTATAGTGTTGTTCATAACATAACCAATCTTGCTGACACATTTCATACTTGAAAATAAATATTCAGTTTGAACGTTACAAAATAAAAACAAACACCTCACTAAACATTATGTATCACAAAAATCAAAATTTTAAAAAAAATTATTAAAACAACAACTAATAATACGATAATATTGTTAAACAATATAATTGATTAATGTCACGAGAAAATTTGTCCTCCAACGAAACTCTCCACTTAATGACTATTGGCGATGGAATCTTCGAACCGATCCACTAAAAAGTCACAGTTTTCTATTATTATCCTTGAACAACTGTAAAATTGTCTCTTATAGTTATGAAGTTGTCGCGAAGTAAGCAGAGAACATTGTAGTCAACATTAGCAGTATAATGCTCTGAAGGTACCAGAAGTCCTCAAACTCATCTTTTCTAAAAAATTTAAAACAACAAAGCACAAACCTTTAGATGCAACATTAGTGATAAAGAATAGTAGAAAATCTCAATTTAAGTTTCATGAAACTGTGAAGTTTCAGAGAACAGAGCATAAACCAACGAATATATTATCACAAGACAGCAGACCTTATAAAAAATAAATTTTGGTTGTCTTTAAACCATGTAATACTGAGCTCGTATGTGTCACATATGCAAATCACCTCAACGGTCATCAAGTAGAACCCCAACAGTCATACGACTGAAAAGAGAGGTATTTGGTTTGTCTTCACAACGATTGCATACGTGTCAAGAACCAATAACAACATATAAGTCATTTAAAATAACTCATAAGATCGAATATCTCATCATAGACCTTCAAACCAAAAAAAATAAAACATGCAATAAAAATTACATTACTTATTATGCTAAAAATTGCCTCACATGTCATCCAAGTGGGAAGAAATACATGCAAAAGAACTGAAAATAGAAGATTTCTTATATTAAGATTCAAAATGAACATCGTTACATAAATCATCATATGCTTCGACCTATAATAAAAATTGTCCTGTGCAATATTCATATACTTCAGCAAGGACTTGAAATTATCTTCATCAGCCCTATTGAAATCAATGCCATTGCGTGACGGATGTCATCAGCCATTATTGCGACCACAATTTGCACTTGTTTGTGAAGTGGATAAGTCAGTATATCCTATAGAATGAGTCATACTTTCTTTCAAACTCTAAATGTCCTTTCAATGACGTCGCACAAGGATAGTCTCTTATTAAACATCTAATTCCTACCTCAAATGACATTGCTAGCTCTCCCAAAATCAGAAATGTGATATTTAGTATCAGCAAATGGTTTAAGAAACCTTTTTTGTAAGGTATATCCATCGTCGACCAAATAATAGGGGTAGCGGATGTTTCATAAATTCTCACCCACAATCTCTCGAACCACCATTCCTCCAAAACATTCATTGTTAGTTTTATCAGATCCCAACCTAAGCCCGTGGATCCTCAATTCTCTCCAAAATTTTCAATCTTTTTTAATTGATCTCACTTATTTTTCAACAACAACCCATCATATTCTCTGCACATGCTTTCATTGAATTTTTATAAAATATTTTGTCAGTCCTCTTTGTTAAAAATAAGTTATTACCCTATTTCCCAACTACAACTTCTTAAGGCAGAAGTCACAAAATATTTATCTCACATAGCAGATGAATCGATTTTTTTTTTTTAATCATCGTGATACTAGCATGAAAAGAGCTAATCAACATAAATATTTTTCATAGAAAACATAAAGTGTCATTTAAGAAACCACAACTCAAAAAAATAAATGAAAAGAAACATCACCACCATATCAACATATCATAACCACCACCACATTACCAATAACACCAACATCAACACCACACTACTACCACTACCACAACATCACCACCAACCCCAACACCGCCACCATTATCAACATATCATTACCACCACCACTGTCAACATATCATCACCACCACCATATTACTAACACCAACACCAACACTAACACCAACACCAGCATCACACCACTACCACTACCAACACTAACACCACTATCACACCACAACGATCACAAAATCAACACCACATTACCAACACCACACTATCAGCACAATCACGATCACATCACAAACACTATTTTGAGCAACCAACACAAAATCACAACAACCACAGAATCACAAAACC